CATTGAGGTGGCCACCGAACACTTGTCGGAATAAAAAAAAATGTTCTAGCCAAATAACAGGACCAAAATAAGAAAAAAATGGAAAACCGGACTAAAGATATTCTAAATATATCATAACATTGGCATATATTTAAAATACAATTTTTGGAGACCCTAATTTTTGTGGCCCAGCCTGGTTACTCATGTTGCACGTGCCTAAGAAAGAGCCTACATTGAAACTTTAAACTTCAAATGATTTCCAAAATTACTTTTATGATCAATGACCTGATTATAACACCGTATTCGTTGCAATTAAATACTTGTAACACGATCTTGCTTGATTATATTCTAACGAAGAAAATATATGTTTCAACCATTAAATTTAAAGTTTCATGTGTGACTACGAAATGTTTCAATTGGAATTTGACTTGGTTGCAGATTTTAATTTTTGATTTCATAAATGTTTTCGATGTTTCAGTTGGTAGGACTGCATGCTTCATGTAGTTGGCTTTCGGTGTTGTAATCAATAACTTTTGAATGTTTCATCCTTTTGAAATATTTCATCAAGTGAGCTAAAACATTGAATTGAGAGACGGAACATTTTTCTCCAACTTATAAAACAGCAACACCAGAATTGTAGCTTCTTTCAGATTTTATCTTACCTAACCAATTATCAATAACATATAATATTTTAATATTATAATTATTTATGTAACTTCTATATATCTATTATTATAACAATTAAAGATGTTTCCACCAGAATTTTGGTACAATATCTGTGTTTGAGTTGGTTATATTTCACTCGCATCATATTCGACATGAGTCTAGAATAACTACTATACACTCCTAACCCAGCCCAACCCCTCGCCCTCCCAGCCCAACCCATCCGGCCCACACCATCCCACCGTCTCATCCTGTGCACCTCTACTCGGTACCACGCGCACCCCTCCTCCGGTTGGCATCTTTTCTCTCTCTTTTTTTTTCGTTTTCTCTTTTCTTTCCTTTCTTTTCTTCGGATAATTATGATCTTCTCCCTCTCCTTCCAATCTACTCTTTTCTCTCCTCATTTTCTCTTTTTTCCTCATAAATTTTTTATGCATGTGGCAAGTTTGTTACTTTGCAAAAGCTTTTCATCTATCGTAAAAATAAATTTTACTAATTGAATAATGAAAGTTTTTAATGTTTGGTCCATGGGGTTTAGCAAAATTTACATGCGTCAACTTATGGAATAGCCACCCAATCGATTTGTAAGGCTATGGAAAGGTGTAAATAAGGGTTTCTTCGTGTGGTGACGCATGAAGTGAGCGTAACTGGGTTCAATGCTATATATATTATTTCTAACTTTGTTTTTCTATTATTTTGTTTTTCTTGTTTTGGCTTATTGTTTAAATTGATAGAATTTTTATCAATTGTGAAAATTGTCTTCACCCTGTTGCAACACACAAATATTTTTGCTAGTATAATAAAATATCAAACATATGCGCTTTTTTTAAGGTGGAGTACTTGTGCGCTTGTGTGCATGTGGTGTCGTATGTACTAGTATATGCAACAAAATTAACAAAATATATTAATAAAATTCCTTAAGTGCCCCAAAATTTCACCCCGAATCCTTCTATACCATTGAGATTTGCTTGAACCCTTATATACCTGAGTTTTTGTTCTGGTTCTTACATGGTCACTGTGTTAATACTTCATCAAGAGTTCGTCCTTTTTTAAAGACTAGCCTAGAACCTAGGGGTGGGCATTCGGTCTAACCGAGAAATTCGGTTCGGGCTTGGTCTTTTGGAAAATTCGGTCTTCAGAATCACAAGACTGATCGGTCTTCAAGAAAACTCAAGACCGAGCACTTCGGTCTTCAGTTAGTTCAGTTCGGCCTCGGTCATAGACCGAACTAACCATAATCGCAGTTTGAGCATAAAAAAAATTAATCACAAAAAATAAGTAATCCATACAAGAATCAATGAATCGAAGTAAGTCGGATGAATAACTAGGATGTGATGCCACTAGAAAATAGAGCACATGATTCAGAAAAAAAAAAGAGAAGCAAATCAAAGCAAATCGATCTTGCATCCCATCGATCTCCACCATTCTACCGGAAGCTCCAGATCCCATCCACCGGGGTGCGGCTACGGCCTACGACGATGACGCGAACCACTGAAGCAGGGGAATCCTAGGCGGGGGCCCACCCCACCGCGCCAGCCATGCCATTCCTCTCGACGCCGTCGTTCGACCTCTCTGCCGGCGCCGAGCCCACCCTCGCCCACGCTCTCCTCCTCCTGCTGACGCCCCTCACCAGCTTACCCCGCAGCAGCAGTAGGCAGTGCCAGCGTCAGAGGCGGTGGCGCGGAGCTGCTGTGGCCTGTGGGAGGCGGAGGAGCGATTGCGGGAGACTATCCGAGAGCTCCAACGTCAGTGTCACCAGCACGGGGGAGGAGGGGATGGGGATGGGAAGGGGAGGAAGTGGATGGAGAGGAGGATGGTGGTGGTGGGGTGGATAAGGTCGTGTGGAATGGATAAGGTCGTGGGGTCCTATAGTGGTGGTGGGTTTTGCTGAGGAGGTATTGGGCCTAATGGGCTAGTACTATATTTCGGTTTTTTCGGTCAATTCGGTTAACCGAGCTCCAAAACTGAATTGACCGAACTAAATTTAGTTAGTAGAAACTGCTGACCGAATTTTTCAGTCTCGGTTAGTTCGGTTTCGGTCTCGGTCATTTTGGTTCAGTTTTTTTCTGCCCACCCCTACTAGAACCTATGCGTTGCAATGGAAAACAAATTGAATTTCTAGCTTATTAAATTGATTAATAAGCACTTATTTAATCTAAGTAATACTATGATTTTTCTTATTGAAAAAAATATGTGATTTTGAAATTTGAGGGGAGCCAATAATGAATTGGGAGAGGACTTAAAGATGGTGTGTAATAATACAGATTGTGAGACTCATATGTTAGTGATAAGGTGGTGCTGGAATGGACACCACCACTACTAACATTTTAAGTAGTACAGAAATGACCTTATTCTCCCAACCACTTAGCTAAAAGGTACAATTGTTCCATGTAGATCAAGTTATCTGCTTTATGAAAAGATAGCATGGATAAACTATTTGAGTTATGGAAAAAAATAGCAAGGATAAACTACCAAAATCATTGAAATGTCAAAAATTATGAAACTTTACGAATTTGAAAAGTAATTTTTGACTGGTTAAGTTTGTAGAAAAATAGTAATACTTTTAATACAAAACAAACATATTATCAAAATATATTCAATTTTAGATTTAATGAAACTAATTTAACATTTTAGATGTTGCTAAAGTTTTTTATAAACGTGGTAAAACTTAAAAAAGTTTTAAAACGACTTGTAATAAGAAACGAACAGAGTACCACCTAAACAGTTATTAAAATATTTTTAGAAAATAAATGATATGATAGATTAGTATAGGATATATCACTCGATAAATATGCAATTTAAAATTCGACTTTTATACGTTAAATATAACTAGAAATATACGTAAACTAGTTTTAGTTAAATTAATTTGTTCCGATTGTTACTACTTTTAGAAGTCCTACACAAGTACTAACAAATGTAACCTTGCATCACTACTAAAAAGGAGCTCTTTGGATTGTAGACACACTGTAACTGGTCGCATATGTAAAAATCATCCTTTCATTTAGCGGATCGTTAAGAGGACCGCATGTAAAAATCGATTTTCGCAGATGGATCTCTTAGCAGTCCGCGCGCAAAAATAAGCCTATTTTTGCAGACGGACCTCTTAAGCGGCCGCACGATTTTCGCATGCGGATCTTGCCTACAAGTCTATTCTCCCTCCTATTTTCCCTCTTCAACACTTCAAAATTTCATCCTTATCCACTCATCCTTATCCTCTCCTTTCTCACACTCTCACCTCTCCCTCAATCTCTCACTCTGTCTCCTCTCTCACTCTCCTCTCACTGTCGGGTATGGGTGGCGCCGCGGCCGACGGCGGGCGGCGGGCGCGGACGGTGGTGGGCGGTGGGCACAGACGGCGGCAGCCAACGACTTGGTGGCGGGTGGATTCGCCTCCGCCGGCATCGCGACGGGCGGCGTGGTCGACAGGGGATGGAAGGCGGTGGCTCCCTCGCCCTCCCCCACGCTGCTCAGGCAGCGGGCTTGAGCAGGAGGCCGGCGGGGCTCTCTCCCGTCCTCCCCCGTGTGGATCCAGCGGCGGGCGGCACGGTGGCCACCGCCGACAACGACAAGGAGGAAGTGGCTGGGAGCGGCATCCTTGGCCCCATGACAGCTGGATCCACGCCGCCCCCACCGCCGCTGACGATGAGAAGGAGGTGGCCAGGAGCAATGCACACGCACGCCGGCCAGATCCGCGCTGCCCCTCTGATGAGGAGGATGAGGAGGAGGCGGCCGAGAGCGGCGCCACTGGTCTTGCGCACACGCGGGCTGGCCGGATCCACGCCGGCCCCACCAACGACAACGACGAGGAGGCGGTGGCTAGGAGCGGTGCCGCCAGCCCCTCGTGCACGCGCGCTGGCTGGATCCACGCCGCCCTCGCCGATGACGATGAGGAGGAGGCGGCGGCTGGCCAGAACGGCATAGCCAGCCCCTTGCGAATGCGCGTCGGCCGGACTCGTGCTGCCACTGCCGGATTTTAGGGTTTTTTGTTTTTTTTTTGAATTTTTATTTTTTCGTGCGGGCGATATAAGCAACCGCACGCGAAAAATCTGATTTTCGCGTGTGGGTGCGCCACCCGCACATAAAAATTAGATTTTCGCAGACGTTTTGGTGCAGACAGGCTGGGCTTCCACACGCAAAAATAGGTTTTGGCCCACACAGAAAAATTGTGTGCTAGTGTATGTTTGTTAATCTATCTTATCTTTTTTTAAAAAAATTATATAACTTTTGAGGTGACATGTGAGAAATGAGGTGATATCGCTTGAGGGATGAAAATCCAATCTTCTTTTATCATAAACTCAAGCCATGCATGCACTAGAAAGAAAAAATAAAGTTGGAAAATATGAAAAGCAACCAGCAGAGAAGACAGAACAAAAACATTAATTAAGCTAGCCAAGAATTAATCTAGCTAGCATCCGCCCTCATATTTGTTGAAATTAAGCTAGCCAGCAGCAGGCTTGGGGATCGGCCATTAATTTTTGTTACACTTCGATTAATTCTGCTTGTTGAGATTAATAACTAATTAACCACTACTTAAACTACTACTACTTGCTAAACATACTCTACTATAAACTCAATTTACTTAATTAATTATCTCACAAGCACTTTAGTAGCGTTAGTTCTTTGGACGCCGAGGACTCCACGCTGCGCTGCCGCTGCTGCTGCTGATGATGACGCTGCTGATGCTGCTGCTGCTGCTCCAAGCTGCTGCCGCTTTGCCACCCCTGCCTCCCGAGGCTGATCTCCAGGCTTGGCACCCTCGATGGCGTCTGCTGCTGCTGCTGCTGCTTCATGCACGCCTGCGCTGCTGCGGCGACGACGACGCTGCTGCCCCTCATCGTCGTCGTCGTCGACGTGGTCTGCGGTGTCAGCGGCGGCGGCGGCGACCACGTCGTCGTCGTCGGCGTCCAGCAGCCTGAAGCTGCAGGAGGCGACGACCTAGCAAAGCCTGCAGTACCCGACGATCGTCGTCCAATCCTGCTGGCGACTACTACAATCTCATCATCATGGTTGCCTGCAGCCGCAGCAGCAGCAGCAGGCAGACGTTGTTGTCCCATGTTCTTGATCCCTAGGCTGCTATGGGCTGCAGCATCTTGCTGTACCGCCAGCTGCTGCCCTGATGATCCCCTCCAACCTCCCTGCATCATCTTTTACATGATTAATTAATTAAAACTCACAATTAATATATATACACATATCCATGTCAACATGTAATGCAGATCGATGATGAGTAGTAATTAACGGCATTAAACTGTACACATCTGAAGACCTGGCCGATTTATCATCGAGGCAGGACAAGCTCTGCAATATACAGTATATACTACTGTTTGGACATGCATTCAATCAGGAGCGAGTACAGTAATTAACCGGTCCAAAGGCAAAAATATTTGGCACGTATATATGGCAGAGGGTACAGTGCTAGCTAGCTGGAGTAAGGTACGTACAGCCTGCAGGGACATTGAAAATATGCTGTTTGTAGTCCCCAACACTGCAAATATCAATTACTCCCCTAATTAAACCTCTATATCCCCACACCTAGCGCTGTATACAGAGAAAACCCATTAATGTGCAGGATGTGATCCATATAAATGCATGTGACCATCATGCACTTAATTTTTAGTTTTGTGGGGACACATCAATGAGAATAACACTCCTATTGAGTTTTAGTTAATTATTTTTAAGGGGAAAACATAAGGGGGATCTGGAAGTGTGGTAATTTAAAGATTGATTGAAAAATATGATCCAAAATACAGGAAAGAGAAAATAAAAAAAAGGTCAAAAGGAGGAAAGCCAGGAATTAAGCTAGAGTTTAAGGTCATGTTTATTTCACCCCAGAAATTGCCAGACATGATTGCCACCCAAATGTGTTGCTAATTGATGGCAATACCTTAGACAAGATGTGAATTTTTTTAAAAAAAGAGTGTATGACGTGTGGGCCTCTAGATTAAAATAAAACGTACTATGGCCTGATTTAACTGTGGCAACGAAACAAACAATAATAGGCTAACGGAGTTTGACAAATTTGGTAGTAAACCAGACACCCCTATGAAAGTATGAATTATTGATTATTGAATCACCTGTTTTCACCAAATTAATAAAATAGCAGTGATAAAGTAAACCTACTTATATTTTGTGGTGGTTAGCTTAGATAATGGGCAAATTAAATATGCATTACTTTTCTGATAATCTAAATCAATCTAACCGGCCTTTATATAGCTGTATATACGTAGAGACCAACGGCAAGCACGGATGTGAATGTATGATCAATTATATGCATATACCAGCTGGTTTTGTTTGATGAGGTAGTGGTGAGTGGACACGATGTAGGGGCAAGGCAGCGGCAGCCCACAAGCAGTGGTTTGCTGCTGGGCGAACTGCGGCTGGCACCAGGCGCTGCTCATCATCGTCTCTTGATGATGCTCACCCGGCGACCCTGCTGCCTGCCTTCTGCAATAAAACAACACAAATAAATTAATATTGCATCATACTCCGGCTCTCAGTTAATTTTCTTCGCTAACAGGTGATACATTTCATCAATCAAATTAAATTTGTTAATTAGGAATTCTAACAGACAGCTCGGTAGCTAGGCGGCTGTGTTCCTTCCCCCATTTTCCCAACCCACCTCTCTCGTTTTTTGTGCGCACGTTTTTCAAACTGCTAAACGGTACAATTTATGCAAAAAAAAAACTTTTAAAAACATATTAATCTATTTTTTTAAAAAATAGTTAATACTTAACTAATTATGCAATAATACGAGCTTTATTTTGCGTTCCCCTCCTCTCGAACACAGCCTGACCCCACACACCCCATCGATCTAGCGCTCCACACTCCCAGCTAGTTTTTTCCTTTTACACATCTGTAACACTACTTCCGTCTCTAAAATATAGGACGTAAAATTTGTTTTACATGGACTACATTGTATTATTTTTCTATAATATATTATCAGCAACTACAAAATTTACGTAATATAAATAAAACTCGAATATGTACGAATATATCTTAATATCACATGCGTAACAGTAAACATGCATATTGTTATAGTTTAATTATTAGTTAAAACTTTCATAAATTTGGATGGTGGGAGCATTCTGCATGTAGCGTATTTTTTTTTGGCTAATAACTACACAACAGAAGACTTGGGGTGTGCTTTGTATTAATTAAGAATTAATATTTAGGACAACCAAATTAGAAAGAAAACAAGCTAAGACATATGTCCAAAACGACAATAAATTAAAAATGACCGGAGGTAGTACTAGCATATATATATATATATATATATATATATATGTGTGTGTGTGTGTGTGTGCGCAAAAGAAGCAGCTGGAATTAAAAGAACTAGACGAGAAAATATGCCTGCAGACTGCAGTGTACATCTGATGATAGCAAGATATACGTACTGTAGTACATATGCATGTACAGAGATATATACGTAGCGGATCACGTGACGTAGAATCGTAGATACATACATACTGTATATACATACGTACACGTACGCAGGCCGGGGGTCAGACAAGAGCAGCAGACACAATGAATACAACGTGCAGAGAAACAGTTAAAACCATCAGAGATTACAACTCATCACACAAACAAAGATGCATGCAGCAGCAGCTAGCTAGCTAGCACACTCACACGTACGTACATACTGTACGTACACAGCGGCACAGAAGGAATTAACTCCGTCTCGCCTGGCAAGCTAGGCCAGAGCCCAGAGAGAGGATCTCGCTCGCTCTCATACATTGTCGTCGCTTGTGTACGCAATCAACGCATCATCGTCAGAGATCGAGAGACACGAGAGCAAAGGCACAAAGAGCCCGGCATTAGCAGCAGCAGTGACAGTGTCGTCGTTGTGCTGTTAATGCAATGTTTGCTAGCTACAGCTAGCTAGCTGCTGCCAAGTTGGCTTGTCCATGCTCGCCACTAGCTAAAGCTGTGTTTAGTATCTAAAATTAGGAAGAAGTTTAGTTTCTGAAATTAGGGAGAAGTTTAGAGAAAGTTGGTATTTTGAAAAAAAAAAGTTAAGAGTTTATGTGTGTAGGAAAGTTTTGGATGTGATGTGATGTGATGGAAAGTTGGGAGCTGGAGGAAGTTTGGTGTGAACTAAACAGGGCCTAAGTAATAGATCTCCTACATGGCCACAAAATATATATAGGGAGTGTTTAATTAGATAAAAAAAATTTTGGTAAAAATATCATATCAAATGTTTGACACATGCATGGAGTATTAAATGTAGACGAAAAAAAAACCAAATGCACAGTTTGCATGTAAATTGCGAGACGAATATTTTGAGCCTAATTACGCCATGATATCATAACGATATGATGCTACAGTATATATTTGCTAATGATAGATTAATTAGGTTTAATAAATTCATCTCGCAGTTTACAGGTGGAATCTGTAATTTATTTTGTTACGTTTAATATTTTAAATATGTGTCCGTATACTTTAAAAAGTTTTTAGCCAAAGAACTAAACATGGCCATAGAGGAGTAACTTGTAGCGTTTAAAATTTATTTCAAATATAACTAACTAAACTGTAATCATCTCTGACTTAATTTCTACATCCGTTTTCTTTTCTTACCAATCACACAACTAATTAATTATCTCATAACTAACCGATCTTCTTAGGCCTGTTTGGTTGGTGCCACATTTTGCCACACTTGAGGTATGTTAGTTTGACCAAATGTGGCTAGTGTTTGGTTTGTTTCTATAACTTTGGTATGCCACACTTTCTACTCTTTTGGTCCCACTAGTCATAAACCCTTTTCTTAGTCAAAGTTTGCCACAAGCGTGGCCATCAAATTTTGAGCCACATAACAGCCCCTTAATTTTCCTAGAGAAAATTTTAAAAATATTTTCTTAGTACTACATGCGCTAATTAGAGGTCGCTGTGTGCATGGCAGGCTTTCTGGGCTGCTCGGTCAAGGCAAGGGATGGATGGATGGATGGATGGAAATGTAGTCGATCGCAGGGCGCAGAAGCAAGCAAGCAAGCTGAGCTGCAGCAGCGGCTTGTCATCTTCTACTTGTTTTACGCCAAGATTCCGGCCACCACTAGCCCTGATGCATGGGTGCAGGGGGACAATTGATATGGATCTGGCCATGGAAATCAATGAATCATCACAAGAGCAACAACTAAGGCATATATGCAGCCCTCTCTCAGCTATCTGCTGCATATATCCCTGCTGCCACTGCTACGTACCTACAGCTGCTATACTTCTACTCCATCCATAAAAAAAAAACTTAACCTAGAAGAAAACACGGGTCTAGACAGACAGAATGTATGGACCAGATTTATACAACGGCAAGATGCAATGCAATGCGGATTAACAAAAAAGAGACGGAGAAACACACAAGACCAAACGCGCCCCCTTTCTCGGCAAGTGAGCGAGAGAAAAAAATATATAGAGAGAAACCCTAGCTAGCTACACTCCCGGTCCGTACGTGGTATGGTGGCTAGACTTCTGCTCCTTCCGTTCAGGAAAAACTCAATTGAGAGCCAATATAATCTCTTCTAAATTGAGTTTTTTTTATAAAGGGAGTAGCTCTGTGCATGCTTAATATTGGGACCTCAGAGAGAATAGATCAGCTACTGTAGCTGCAACAAAACTGCAGTACTGCAAGCAAGGAGAAGAGGGGGAGGCCAGAAGAAAGTCTTGCCATGCATCATGACCTTTCTTCCAGCAGCCAGTACAATTTTTATTTCTTTTTTGCAAACATTAATGATAGCTACTAGTAGGCATTACTTTTCCTTTAAAGACATTAATCAATGTCCCCCAGCCCAGGCCATGTCCACCCTGGGTAGCATATGTGATAATAGTCGTCTGATAGATGGCTCTATCCCTGTGTGCATGCTGAGCATACACCAGAGGATGTGTCATGCATGAGAGTTTGAATCACGAGAGAAGGACAGTATATGCATGGCTGTAGTAGTAGTACTACTACATCAGACAGTATGCAGGATTTGTCACCCTTAGCTATAGCTAGCCACCTTGTTCTCTGGGAGATATATGTATTCATGCATAAGTGAAGGGAAATATGCATGACAGCCAATAGAAGTTGTTAGCACTCAATTCCCATTGTGTCGAAAAGGACGACCGATAACCAAATATTGGTCCAGGGATCAAATCCTAGGATTGACAATGGGGTACACTACTGCAACCGCACCCTTCCAAAACCTATCACACCGCACCACACAAAACTAATGAGAGAAAATAAGTTGTTATTATATATAAGAAAGGGGAATAGTATGCGAGGAAACCATCAAATGAGTGATAACCCATGAAACCATACCTAAAAAGTAAGAGCATTCTACGGTCCTTAAGGATGTACCATAAGATACTAAAAATTTAGTATAAAATTTAGTACCTCATAGTATCTAGATATAAAGAGATACCAAATTTGCAATAGAAAAAATGGTGCCTCATGTTACCCCTCAAGGACTGTAAAATTGCTCAAAAAGTAATGTCTTAAATATGAATAATAATGCGATAAAATTCATTTATTCTATTACATAGGCCTAAGTAGTACAGTTATTCTAAGATCATACACGTACAATTATACAAGGGTTATAAAAGTGTGTTTTTTTTAAACTTTAGTTTATTAAAGTACAACCCTTGTGTGTGTGTGTCTATATATATATATATATATATATATATATATATATATATATATATATATATATATATATATATATATATATATATATATATATCATAGGTATGAAATTAAGGCTTGTAGATACAGTTACACGTCATAGCAAATCCTCTCAAAACCTCACACTACCCAAACTAATAATGGGAGGAAAAAGTTTTATCATGTGTAAATAAATATAGATTCATGAATTTGACCAATATCTTAATCTGCACAATAATACACGAATACTTCACTTATTTTTTACATATGCCTAAGTAAGTTACTGTAATTAAGTTCACAGCCAGTCATCCTAGATATAACATATATAGTAGGTCAATTGAAGTATTTGATAAATGTTCACCAGCCTGATGTATATTCTAGGCGTGAAATTAAGTATCCTAGATCGATATACACATAACCAGATGTGAAGCTAGAATCAAATGGAGAGGGTTTCAATCGCTTGCTTTACCCTCTATATATTGGGACAAGATCAAGTTTAGACTGGAACGAGTATGTAAGTTTTAATTTAGAAGGTGCATATATAGTGAAAATAGATAAATTATAGCTAAAAAAATGTCTGAGCTAGGTTCCTGCACCCCATGCACATGTAGCTCCGCCCCTGCACGTAACCGATATTTAATTTTGTAATAATGTTGTTAATAATTATTTCCCGTGGGTAAAATGCTAGCAAACATCTCATGTGGTAGTTCTTGAGAAAACAAGCTTTTGAAAAACATGGGTAAAAACTAATTGTTTTAGGAAACTTGTTTTTCCTCCAAAATAACAGGTTTTTTTTGGAAAAAATCAATATATAAATATATGAGAATTCCTTCCTTTAGATAAAATACATAAGATTCTTGCAGAAAATATTTGTTAATTATTCGACCCCAAGTTCTTTTAAAAAATTTAAAATGTAAAATACAATTTAATATGTTTATACTTTATGGAACATATTAATAATGATATATAATATACACAATTTTCCTGTTCGTAGCTTTCTCAGATCAGCTTCTTAATTATAAAATCCTTCAGAATCACTCCCATCTACTTAATTCATCCATACAAATATCCATATGACAAATACCATGTGTATTTGTGGATAATATGCATTACACACAATGTTTGATATGATGATCCCCTCATTTTTTGCATTCCTAATTTTCTGGAGTATATATGAACGGACCGTTGTTAATTTGTACTAAAAATCCATTAATTTGAATCTGTCGTACATTCTCTGAACGTTTAATGATAATTTGTTAACTTGTACTTCTACACAGGACAAAACCTGATTGAAATGATGCGTTAAGTGTCTGAAAATCAAGTAGGAGTACTAGATCTACTCTCTAAATGCGCTACTGAGGATATTTAATTAATAACAATCATATCAAAACAGGAGTACTTCTGCGACACAAACCGGCTGCAGTCTTATTAATATTTTAGATGCATCCCTGGTCATGTTAATGAAAAGGGAATTGCTAATGTAGTGTCGAATATCAAGTTTAATTAAGTAACGATGCCAAATAGTAAGACAATATAACTGTTAAACTTGCACATTCTGACAATATGTGAACATCGAAACATATTAATAATATTGATTTTTTAATTAATGTGACTTATATATTTGCATCCTTGAGATTGAAGGCCCTATTAATTAAATGTTATCAATTAATTATATGTATAACCATAAACCATAAATGGAAATTAAAACGTCGTTTCATGCAAACCGTACCCCTTCACATAATTAATTTGATATAGAGAAAGTTAACATGAGCATTGTACAAATTAGTATCGAAAGACAATTATGAGTCGATCTAATAGATCCGGCACATGAGTTTAATTATGATGTACATTCAAATAGCTCCAAAATTTTCTGCCATGCAATTTAACTGCCCCACATACTTGCAAGCATGCATTGATGTATATAAAGACATATCTGTTTAATTGCATGCACAGAAGATGCTCAAATCCAACAAAACATGCATCAAATGGAGAAAAATGGAAGACGCAGAGATTTGCAGCCACAACGTACAATATAATTTTTTTATAATACAAATGCCGATTATGCAAAAAAAAAAGGAAGAATCAAATTAAGGTTAGAAACAACCCTGATGTGTAAAAGAAAAGGGAAACCCTAGCTGATACTTTTATTTCATTCATTGCGCAATATTAGTGTGCTACAATAATTAATTAATCGACCAGATATAATGTGGAGTATACTAACCTAATATTGGCGATTGCAATTGAAGAGGTGTTACCAAGCACGTCAAAGCCATCCACTCCACCACCTCCTCTCCTCAGAAAGCCCATATCTCTCATCTGCCCATGGCCTGCAGGCACCACATAGATGCATGTCTGACCAACTAATTCATATGCAAAAATTATGTGTTTTTGGTTATGGATGGAACAGTTCAGTATATGATATATATATGCCTCCACTAAAATCATATATATAAACGGTACTACCCAATATATACAGTGCTAGCTAGACTGCATGCTTTGCTAGCTTTATGGGACATTCCTAGCAAAACCATACACACATCCCATGCCAATAATTCAGCTAGCATTATGTGATTTGACCTTACTGAATGATCAACTCAGGCAAGAAAATATGTCTCTGGAAAAGAAGAAGTTATTATTTTCTAGGCCTTGTTTTACCTTCAGCACATGTTCTGTCTGTGGTTCCCTTCACTGTTCTATACATCTGCACCAGGTCAAGCAAATAAGCTAAGTAAAACAAAGGCAAAAAGAGAGAATAGACTAGACCTCGCGCGTGTTCCATTTGGTTTACTTTTGCAGTTAATCATACTAGTGTGTCTTAAGATGCAAAATGTTATAGCGAGAGAGACCAAAAATAAAAAAGAAAAGAGAGCTAATCGATAAAAAAATTTATTATTATACAATTATACATACTTTAGTTACATTGTTTTATTCTCTTGAATGTTGATATGGACTAGAGTGAGAGATCTACTTGCCTGCAGGTGACTCTTCACATGAGCCAGCGTGAGATCTTTCACGTTCATCAACTCCAATACTGACTTTGGTGTCGCTCCTAGAAACATAGTGAAAATTAATAGCTTCATTTTACAACATTTTTTTTTTCATAATGAACGATCGAACTTGTTAAATCCGTAGTATATGGTACACATGAATAAGAGAAAATTTCAAAACAACAAGGAAACCATGATAGCAAATACTGGATTGGATTAGAAAAAAAAAACTCTTCGAACAACAATGCTTTCAAAAAGTAAACGGGAAAACTACAAATGGAGTCACAAGATTGCAAACAATCGATGCATTATATTGGAACAGCTAAGGGGGGAAAAAGTCAATTTGACTCCTCTGAAATTCATACAAGAACAAAAAAGAAAGTTAATACAAGAACACGCGAGAAACTCAAGTTGCAGGTGTATATATTGAATAGACACAATTCCCTTGTCTCATGTGATTGTGCAAAAACTTCAACTAGTCCAAGAACAGTCATGTGAATTGAAAAAGGTCAAACAGCAAAAGGAACAATCGAACAAGAAGAAGAAGCAAGCAAAGCATTAATTAACTAATTAATTACATCCAAGGCTGTATGATCTGTATGTGCATAGTATATATGCATGCATATGAACCTACTTTCATGGCCTCCAAGAAGCTCGACGGCTTGCACAAAGTGCGCATGGAGAGCCGTCGTCCATCGCATCCTCGGCGCCCTAGAGCTCCTCTTCCCACCTCCACCGCCATTCCCGGATCTCGCCGCCGCAACGCCGCCGGTGCCGGTGGCGCCGCCGGAGCACACAGGGCTGCCGCCGCTGGCGCTCTTCTTGAATCTCTGGATCTGGCTAGGTTGGTGCAGCCGCTGCTGCTGCTGGAGGTTGCAGCCGCCATTGTTGTACTGCTCCGCCGCCGCCGCCGCCGCCGTGCCAAACCCTAGGCACAGCTTTGGCTCAGCCAACTGCTCCATCGTCTCGCCGCCGGCGGCCATGTCCGGCGGCGAAGGCGGGCTTATGTGGAGTGACAGATCCGGCGCGGTGGCAGCAGTAGTCGCCATTGCTGTTTCTTGGGAGAAAACTGAAAGGATTTTTCAGCTTCTTCCAAAGCTAAGAAAATGAGTTGGTGTGGGAAGCTTCTTCTTCTTGCAAGCTAGAAGAGAGATATATGAGAGAAGCGAGAAGCTAGCTAGGGAGGGATCTTGGTTGATTAGGTCATGAGTGGCATATGATGATTCTTGTATAGGGCTTTGTGTTTGTGGGTGAGATCGATGGATCGATGCATAGGGAATGGGGCTAGCAATAGCTTAGATAGGGAGAGGAATAATGGAGGAAGAAGTTGTTGGGTGTCTCATGGTACAAATTGTGGGGGGGGGGGGGGGGGGGGTGATAGCATAGCAGCATCATTGGCAATAGCGAAGTTGGTGGAAGAAACTAGCTTTTGTGTGCGTGTGGGGGCTGTTTGATCAATATGCACGGGGAGCTGGTGGAGCAGGCACCACCACTGTATATTTGCCATGCAATTTTTTTTCCCTCTCCGGTCTTCTTGTTTTTTTTTTTTTGTTCTTCTAGAGGGGACTCATCAGCTTGACACATTGATTTGTTTGCTTTCTTGATGGGTTGTAGCAGACCAGCAATAAGGAATGGTCTAACAGGGTTGGTGCATGGGCTCTAAAACTGACTTGACACGATACATATCTTTTTTTTTCCTGTATATTTCAAATCTTCATATTGTATGTATTAAATGGTAACCCTTGTTACACCGTGTGTATTTTTGCTAGATGAAGTGTCACTACAAAGCCGACATCACCGCGGTACATCATCGGGAGTGACACTCTTAAGTGCAATGTCAGTTGTGCAACCGGCAGTGTAAAAACGGTCATGAAAATTTCCGACCGACCGACTCTAGTTTCCGACTAGCTTCTACCAACCTATCATGTGAAAATGGTAACCAAAACAAAAATCTGAATGGAAAAAAATATGGAAACGGAAGCGGGAACAATTTTCCCGTTATCCCGACCATTTCCATATTTTACTGTATTCTTGTGGCAATTACCATTTTTATACTAAGGTAATTACCATTCTATCTGATCTAATTAATGTTTTTATAATAAAGTAATTACCATATTTCTAATACCCCAATATCTATGCTTCATGTTTCTATCTGATATGTAGTTTAGAGGCTCGTCAACTCCTCAACCAAATCATTATAGTTTGAGTGCAAGTCTAAAAGAGTGACAATTTATAATTTACCAAGTGTAAGCTTGAATTTATTTGCTTATATTATATAGTTAAACAAAGCTAAATATGTGATTCCATTGTTCCATGTTTTACCGGTTTCCTATCGACATCAACATGTTTTTGTCCATATGATTCTGTTTCCGTTTTTATGATATTTTTTATACCATTTTCCTTTCCAGCTTTAGTGTTTGTGTGAAAAATATGGTTACTGAAATGGTCGAAGCTATTTTCATCCATATATAGACAAAAAAAGGGGGAAAATTGGTTCCATGCCATCCAAAGTATGCGATTTAAGTTTTACAAATCAAAAGGTTGTAACACCATCGAAAGTCCAAATTACGTCCCCTGACTATTTCGATAGTCCGAATTAACACCCCCCTAATTCCAAGATTGGATATTTGACACCCCAAAACTCTTAAATCCAAACAAATTCCCCTCCATTTCTATGCCTCCCTCTCTCTCTCTCTCTCTCAGCTCAAACCCACCCTTGTCCAGGTCGTCTGAGATGTTCAGGAGGACAAGCTGCCTCTATGAGGAGGCGGCAAACCCGCCCTTGTCCAGGTCGTCCGAGATGTTGAGACGATGACAAGCTATGGATGTGTGGAGGCCATCCTGCAAGCTAGAGGTGGCGGTGGCTATCATGAAGTTGGAGGCCTGCGGTACCAATGATAGGATCTTCCTCCTCCCCCTCTGCATCCACCCTTCACTGGCTCACTGCCGGTTGCATAGCCCCAAGCTTGGCGCCTGCCCTTCACCGCTGGTCGCCCACCCCAAGTCTCTGTCACCACCCCAACACAGAGCTCAAGGTTTACCTCTGTTGCATTCCTGAATCGAGCTCAAGCTTGGCCACCGGCCGCTACCTCCACCAGCCTCCATGATGGGAGCTTGAGTTGGCCTCCCCATGTACCTCTGACCGCCAGCTCCACGGACAAGAGGACGGGTCATCATGCCACGCCGCTTTTGCCCCACCACCTCTTCCTTCATGAGTATCCCTGTCGTCGTCAACTCCGTTGGCGCTGCCGGCACACCATGGCCCCATCGACCATCGCCGTCGGTGCCCCCTGGACCTACCTAATTGACCCCGCTGGACTTCCCCATTTCTTCCTCACTGCTAGGGGACATGCCCCTCCTCTGCTCCACGGGTTGCTACCTGCGTAGGTTGAGCCTAGCAAGAGGGTCGCAATGACTGAGGCCCTACCGTGTCGGAGCCTAAGTCGCCTCCCAAGGTTGATCCAAGGAAAGAGGGGGACCTATGGCTGAGTCCCACATTGTCGGAGCCCATGTTGGCTTCTTGGCAAAGAGGGATGGCAACGACAGAGCACCCTCGTTGTTGTTGCCTGCTGGGGTCGAGCCGGGGAGTTGAGGAATGGAAGATGCACTGATAGGTGGGTCCACCGATTTTTAATATTTTGTTGTTGACTAGATTGCCACGTGTGCACCACATAGGCTAAAAACTACTCCGGATTGAAGGGGGGGGTAATTTGTTCGGATTTAGGAGTTCATGGTGTCAAATGTCTGGTATTGGAGTTCGATCGCAATAGTTCAGGAGGGTAATTTGGACTTTTTCCATACTTTAATAGCATCCTATATTTACTCTTGTCCGTTAGAACATAAGTACCCATCTTCCAAGCTCTTGGGATGGGCATATTGAGTCAGAATCTGCATTCTCATCCTTCCCACTGATCCCGTTCGAGTCCAGCTCTTGCTCGCTCCCCATCCAACAAAAACTTGACCTCTCATTCCTCCTTCCCCTTTTGAACATAAGGGTGAGGTGGCAAGCTCCTTCATGCCGGATCTTCCACCTGCTGCTGGGTTGTGATTTGGCTCCAGGTTGAGGTCTTCATGACGGTATTGTGTAGTAGCTCCACCCCACCACCCCCAAATACCACCGCCATTGGCATGATTTGGCTTCAAGTTAATTTCCGCTGTTTCGAGCTCCTCCACTATCAAATACTCCCTCCGTTTCAAAATGTTTGACACCGTTGACTTTTTAGCACATGTTTGACCGTTCGTCTTATTCAAAAACTTTTGTGAAATATGTAAAATTATATGCCTACATAAAAATATATTTAACAATGAATCAAATGATAGGAAAAGAATTAATAATTACTTAAATTTTTTGAATAAGACGAATGGACGAACGGTCAAATATATGCTAAAAAAGTCAACGGCGTCAAACATTTTGAAACGGAGGGAGTACCAGTATTTCCCAATTCCAACCGTCAGCTACAACCTACAACCAACAGCCATGGCAAAGCAGTTGACATCGTGTCATTGGGCTCATGGGGCAGATCATCGCATTTTCTCACATGATGTGCCCCTCATTGTTTGAAGAGCGCTCCTACTTGCACTCGCACATGCACATGTTGTAGGGAATTGGGCCCAAGTGAAGCAATCCTAGAAAATAGCTAGAGGTATGGAAATGAAGGGTAACATTATCATTTACTATGAAATTTTTGTACAAAAAATGAAAAAAAAAGTAAAGCTGAACAGATGTGTATGGAAATGGTATAAAGAGTAATGTTGGAAACAAAGATAATGGTATTAAAGTATATACTAATACTTTCAGTGGTGAACCTAATTTAAAATTTACCGGGGTCATGTATGTACTACTACTCTAATCATCAACGAATATTGTCATTAATATAACAAAACAACTAGAAATACACATGCTACCTGATGTCAGGTGCACCCGGTAAGATGTACAAAGGAACACCACTGAATCTTTCGATGATTTAAATTAAGGTTGTGAAATTTCAATGGTATGAAACAAATTTTACCAAAAATTTAAATATAATTTGATTTACACATGACATTGTAATGCTGTAAATATGAAAGTATTCCAACAAATGTTATCACTTCATAAAACATTCATGAAAACTTCCACCGAAAGGAGATACAACTGATATGGAATATGTTTTGAAACTGCAAAAACAAACAATGCAATCATGAATTCATTCACTAAGCACAAATCAGGTAATTTGCTCTAGAACCAGCCAGAATAATTATGTGAAGCGGCGGTGGCGGCGGTGGAGACAGTGCCGAGGAAGTATCATGAAGCTGCGGAGAAGCAGGGCGAGTTAAATTGGTAGCCGCCCTTCTAGCTCCCAGGAATGCGTTGACAAGACATGACGAGCGATGTGCATCCGAATCATTCCCTCCCACACAACCTCTAGTTTAAGGGATATGATAGATCCGGTGCTCCAATGCTTCCGCAGGTTCCCAAGCGGTGGTGACCATATCTAAGAGCAAGGTCAATAGTATAGCCAACTACTGGCTCCAAAACATCTCCAATCTAATAGCCTATTCATACAATAGTTAACTATAAAATTATACTATACCATTAATACCCGGTCCCATCTCTCATACACATATAATATCTTGAAGTTCGTGTTGCAGCCGGCTACAAATCTGTAGCCCACTTTCTTCTCTCTTCTATTTTCTTCTCGATATATGGTTATAGCCAGCTTATAGCCTGCTATTGTACCTGCTCTAACAGATCCAAAGGCCTTAGACTCCTCGCTTGCCACCCCATTCTCGTGCAGATCTCCCCGCTAGGGACCCAAGCCCTCTCGCATAAGCACCCCGCTAGTGGACCTGTTGGCTTCCGACGCACCTCCAGAGCTCCCAGCTGGAATCACTGCCCTCATGTGCCTCAAGTGCTCCCCACCGTTGGCTTCTCAAGGTTGAGTGTGAGAGATCAAGCGGAGGAGTAGCCAAGAAAGAAAGGGTGACGAGGGGATCAAGATGGCCAAAAGTTGCACTCTTTGCCTGTATCGGCAAGCTTGCTATCTCATTATATATATAATTGGTTCGGCCTAGCATCATGGTCGAATCGAAATAAAAAATGACAGTTATATAATTGTTGTTTTTTCTTAAAACCGGTTAGATGTTCTATTATCAATACCGGTCCATGATAAAAGCTATTTGCTCCCTTTTAAGATATAAGTACTTTTTGGACTCAAATTTTATATATAATATAAGCATTTTTATGACACTGACCCTAGCGCTGGGAATCAAGCATTTTTCAGCTTTCAATTGCTTAGGAGGGGAATTGCCAAGTAATTTAAAAATCAAAATTGGACCAAGTCAAAAGGAAATATTTGCAATATCCTTACTTTTATTAAACAACTAACAAAT